CAAGGCCACGGAGCGGGGGCCGTGCCAGTTTGGTGGCGCGCCAAGTCCCCAGCTGCTGTTTCTCAATGACCGGGCTGGAAGCAGCTCGCTTGCATCTGCGCTGGATTTGGGAAGGTCGGGCTGCTGCCACGGCCGTCCTCGGGGCCAGGTGCCTGCAGATGGCCCTGGCATCGCCAACCCTCACCGCCCCGGCGTCACTGTCACCCCCCGGCATCACTGTCACCCCCCCGGCATCACTGTCACCCCCCAGCTGAGGGTCTTTGGCCCCCAAGCTGCGGTGGCGGCTGGGGGCAAAGGGGCCTCAGCACCAGCCAGGATCGTGTGACTGGGGGGGCTGGGATGGATGGATGGATGGATGGACGGACAGATGGACATGGCCTGTTGCATGGGGAGGGGGCTTCTGCCTGCAGGGGGTGAGTCTGGCTGCTGCGGTCCTGGCTTCCCCAAATTGCTAGATTGTGTAGGGCTGTGGGGAGCTGTGATTTGGGGGGAATCATAACCACACTGCGTACAGGGACTGAAGCAGTTTGTAGGAAAGAGATGAAACCTTCCCTTCCACCGGGACGCAACTGGAGAGAAACCAGATGGGCTCTGGTACTTCCCCTTCTGACATCCTGAGGGAATGAGGTCTCTCCTTGATGGACCCCTCATGGGCTTTGGCCGGAGCATCCTCGCCTATGCAGTACCCCAGGATGAGCTATGGGGCTGCTCCTGCTTCCTGGGGACCTCAGCCAAAACCCAAGTGATGCTGGAGGTGGCTGCAGATGGGGAGGGCTCACGGCATCGCCAGCAAACGGCGTTGTCAGTTGATTTCTGCACAGCTGTGGCAGCGTTATTGGCCGCTCAAAACCATGGGAAAGGTTTTGCTCCGGTGCTGGCAGGAGGAGGATGGAGTAGTGCTGGGGATGGAGGTGCTGAGTTGGAGGCTGCAGATTTGAGGGAGCTCTGGGGAGAGCCTGCGGGGGCGAGGGCTGCAGTGTGTGTGGGAACAGCCGAAATCCTTGGGGGGAGCTGCTTGGCAGACAGAGAGGTGCTATGGGGAGGAAAGGGGGTGGGAAATGCAGCACCCCAAAACAGAGCAGCTTAAGGGGCAGCCCGGGAGGGGTGGTGGGGGCATGGGCTGGACTGGTGGTGCTGGTAGGGGCTGAGTGATGACCAAGGGGATGAGATGGACTGGTGATACTGGTGGGGGCTGACAGAGGTCACAGGCTGGACCAGTGATGCTGGTGGGGGCTGAGTGGTGACCATGGGGACAGGCTGGACTGGTGATGCTGCCTGCAAGTTGGGCAGAGGCTTGTGCAGAGCTTACACAGTGGGATAACCCCCTTTTTAGGATGGTGGGGGGAAGCCCAACCAAAACCAGCTGTGTGAGGGCACAGAGCCTTGGTCCTGGGAGCCCTGCTCTGGTGCTGGAGCCTGACTGGAGCAGGAGCAGGGATGCTGTGAGGAAGCCGAACCGCTCCATCCCATCGGTCAGGGCAGCGTGGGCAGCGATGGGGATGAAATCCTGTGGGGAAGGAGGTGCCGTGCAAACGGGCAAATTAAAGAGCACGATGTGCCTGATGGGCTCTGGGATCCAGCGATGGAGCGGCCGAGCTGCCAGCACAAAGGCACCTCTCGGTAGGAGCAGCTGCACAGGATCACAGCCCCTTCACTGCATCCCTTGTTTGAAGAGGCATGAGAGGAGCTGTGGGATTACGGAGCAGCCGGCTTTATTTTAGCACCGAGCAGATTGGCTGAGGAAATCATTAAAGCGCGTGTGGAAATGCCTGCGCTCCAGCGTGACGGTTTACTCAGGGTTTTGAGGGTTTTTTTTTTTAAATTCCTTCTTTTTTTCAGTACTGCGATAAGGTGATTGGGGAGAGCAGCTGGGAGATGAATTACGTGGATTTCCAGAAAGCCTTGGACAAATTCGCTGAGTTATTGAGGAAACGGCGCGGGCGGGAGCTGTGGGAGGAACGGGCGAGTTCTGTTTGATGTTTGGGATTTACGGGGAGGGCAGGGCGCAGCGTGGCCAAAGGATGCTCTGCACCCATGGGGCTTCGGGCTCCAAATGTGGTGTAGATGTGCACTGCGCATCCATGGGGCCGCAGGGCAGGAACACGAAAATTGGGTAACGCTGGGTCCAAACCGGCTGGGGGAGCCTGGTCCCTGCTGGGGAGGGGGCTGTTGCCAAATACACCTCAGGGGCTGCTTTCCTCGTAGGACCCCATTTTTTGGGACAGACAAGTCCCAAGAGGAAACTGAGGGCAGTTGTTTGGAACGGCCGATGTCTGTGGGGGCAGCGGAGGGGGAACCCCTCAAATTGGGGAGGGGGTTGGGGGGCTCTGGGACCGGTCGTGGGTGCGGGATGAGGCGTTTTGTTTTCACTGCGATCCCAATCCGAGCTGATTTTCCGAGGACGACGGAAAGCGCAGACAACTGCTGCCCAGATTTCATATCCTGCTGTCGCGGAGCCAATTAAGGAAAGGGTTGCCATATTTTGTTTTATTTTTTGTAGCGTACGGGTGGAGCAACACAGCTTTTTTTTGAGCCTCATTCTTGGAAGCGACTGAGCGGTTTGGGCTGAAGTTTTTCTGGGTGGAAAAACAAAGGAGGAAAAAAAAAAGAAGAAGCGGAAGAAAAAGGAGGAGAAAAAAACCCTCACGCTTGTGGAAAATATCAGCCCGAAGAGTTAGCGTTTGCATCCTGAATAAGTCGGGATTTGCCTTGGAGCTCTGGTGCGCGTTGGGCTTTGATCCTGTAAAAATGGGCCAGCGTCGCCGAAAACCGCGACCGCGGCAGTGGGCACGGCAGCGGGAGGAATATCCCACCCTGGTGTTTCCACACAGGAACGTTTGTGTTTCCAGGGCACAAACGTTTGTGAGTTTCCGTGTCAGAAACGTTTGTGAGTTTCCGTGTCAGAAATGTTTGTGTTTCCACAGCACAAACGTTTGTGTTTCCATGCACGAACCTTTGTGTTTCACATCCCTGTGGTGTCCAACGTGGCCCTGCCCGTGCCGGGGCCAGCACACGCGTGGCCGGGGCCGGTGACCCTGGGCCAAGCAGTGACACACAGGACTGTTCATAATCTGCGCTGGTATTTTGTAACTTCCATATTTAAGGGGTTACTGGCTCTGCACAAAGCAGGCTTCGCTCTGATCTGCCGTTCCCCGCAATCCTGCACATCAAAGGCTCATCAAAGCCAGCGCCGTGAAAGGCTCTGCTGCTGCGCCCGTCCCCGCTCCGGCCGGGGCTGGGGGCTCCTCTCGGTTATCTCAGGTCTGGAGGATGCTGTCCCGGCAGGGAAAACAAGACTGACACAGGGATGGCCCTCAGGAACAAAGCAAAAGGCTGTTTAAGTGTGGTTTTTGCATCTTTTCACCTCAGATGACAGCAATGCTGGGTGGTGAGCGATGCTCGCCCCGTTCTGCAGATGCTGTTGGGGAGCTTCAGTCCTTGTTTTTAAATCGTTTTCCCAATGTTGGTCAGGGCAGCCTTTGGGCTCCTTGGCTTTTTTGGCTGCTGCTTCTTTTCCACTGTTTCTCTTGAGGAGGAAAACCAAAAATACATTAAACAATGTGTATGTATGAATCTAGCTATATAAATATATGCATACACATACACATGCAAAGCTGCACTTGGGCAGGCCTTGATAAGGTTGCTGCAGCATTAACATACCTAAATAGCCAATTGCTTAATTTTATAAGGCCCTTGAGCTGGTGCAGGGAAGCGCTTGGGATCTCCTGCAGGCGCTTTGCAAGTCCTATTTTGGAGGATTGGGCAGGGACCGGTGCCATGGGCAGGGATGCGGTGTGATGGGCACAGGCGGGGAGATGTAAACCCGGGACTCGTTTGGCTTTGTTTGGGGCACCACTGGTCTCTGGGGTGCAGCCAAGGGCAGCCGGGGGGAGGTTGCAGGCTGTAATTTGGCTGCTCCTCCCTCCCCGCTCCTAAACAGCGATGTCTGGGAGAAGCCGAGCGTGAGGACGGTGCGTTAGTGCTCCTGGTGTGCTTTGCTCACAGTTTCCAGGCCATTCATCCCCTTTGCCAAAAGGGGATGGGGCCATGCAGCCACCAGTTTGGGTGTCGAGGTTTGTCCCTGCTGTGTCAGGGGACACCAGCACGGCCCCTTTCCCATCCCAGGCAGTGCTCAGTGAACGAAGCACCAAATCTTGTGGTTTTCCCTATTTTTGTCTCCAGTGTTGCTGTCCAAGCGCTGTCCTGGCCGGGCAGGACGGTGATGGGGAGGGGTTTGCTGCTGCCCCATCCCTCCCATCCTGCAGCATCCTGGAGCACTGGTCCAGCGTGGGAGATGCTCCAGCCGCGCCGATGCGGCTGTGAGAGCCTGGCTGGGCTGTGGGACCAGCCTTGGTGTGCCAAGGGTGCCCGGTGTTGAGGCAATGGGTGCGACTCCCCCATGTTTTGGCCACTGTCTGACATCTCTGCTCTCCCCCCCCAGGTGCCAGGCCACCTTCCCTGCAGTTTGAGGCTGGAGCAGGATCGTTTTAACTAAAGATGGAAACACTGGAGTCGGAATTGACCTGCCCAATCTGCCTGGAGTTGTTCGAGGACCCCTTGCTGCTGCCCTGCGCCCACAGCCTCTGCTTCAGCTGCGCCCACCGCATCCTGGTGTCCAGCTGCTCCTCCGGCGAGGCCATCGAGCCCATCACCGCCTTCCAGTGCCCCACGTGCCGCTATGTCATCTCCCTCAACCACCGCGGCCTGGAGGGCCTCAAGAGGAATGTGACCCTGCAGAACATCATCGACCGCTTCCAGAAGGCGTCCCTGAGCGGCCCCAACTCCCCAAACGAGAGCCGGCGCGACAGGACCTACGGCCGAGGCCCCGCCAAGTCCGGGGGCGACGATTTTTCATCGCCTGCCAGTTCTGCGAGCAGGACCCGCCCCGGGACGCGGTCAAGACCTGCATCACCTGCGAGGTGTCCTACTGCGACCGCTGCCTGCGCGCCACCCACCCCAACAAGAAGCCCTTCACCAGCCACCGCCTGGTGGAGCCGGTGCCCGACGCCCACTTCCGAGGGCTGACGTGCCTGGAGCACGAGAACGAGAAGGTGAACATGTACTGTGTGGCTGACGACCAGCTCATCTGTGCCTTATGCAAACTGGTGGGGCGCCACCGCGACCACCAAGTGGCGTCGCTCACCGACCGCTTTGAGAAGCTGAAGGTAGGTGGGGGGGCAGCCGGTCCGTGGGGTCCCTTCTGAAATTGGTGAATTCGGGTGTTTTGGGGTGTTTTTTTGGCTCTATGTAAGCACCTGGTGTAGTCACTGTGAGCCAGCATTGAGGGCATCTCAGGGCTGGTGATTGCCTTGCAGAGCCTGGTTCTGGGAGCCCCCAGCCCCTTCTGGCGGCCCCCAAAATGCCTCCTCACCAACGTGGGCTGTGGGATGGAGCTCAGGACCCCGGTCCCATGAGCCTGAGCTGAGTCCCCGCTTTGCATCAGAGCAAAGTCCTTGCTGTTTCATTTCCCAGGCCCTGGAGTCCAACTCAAATGGGTGCACAGGGCGCTGGGGTGCCCCAGGAGGTGCTTTCTGCCGGGGTTTGTCCTGTGACAGGGCCAGGGTGGCAGAGGGTGACATGGGGACCCGTGAGCATCGTCCCCATGGCTGCTGTGCTGGGGCCGTGCCCCCTCGGAGGTTGGAGCGGGACAGGTCGGGCCATGTGTGAACGGGGCAGGGTTAGGGTGGACGTAAGAGGAAGTGATTTTGGGTGATGGGGGGTGCGGTGCTGGCACAGGGTGCCCAAGGAAGCTGTGATGTGTTCAGGATTGGGCCATGTTTGACCCTGATGAAGTTAGAAATCCCTCTCCGTCCCCCGTGCATCCTGCATGAGTCTGCAAAATGGTTTTAATTCCTTGTTTTTAATACTAAAAAAGTACACCCGGTCCCATTGGAGGTCACGGCGGTGAGGCTGTGGCCATGGCAGCAGCCGTGTTCCCATTAAAACCCTTCTGGTGCTGCTTCTTCCTGAGCCCGTTTTCTCCCTTAATGTTCCGGGCTTGTTCTGACCCAAAATTGCTTCTCTGGCCCCTTTGTCTTGGTAATGTTTTCAGCAAAGTCGATTTGCCTGCTCTGGAGTTTTCTGAGGGCAGAAGGAGCACTGCTGTTCTCTAGCAAAAATAGAGGACTTTTAATGTTTTTTTAATGTGCAGGCCAGATTATTTTTTCCCCTCTTTTAGAAAAAATGAGCCCAAATTGCTGCCTGGGAAGAAACCTCTGCGGATGTGTGGTTTCCCGGGCTGGTTTCCCACCTGCCCTTCTCCAAACCCCTCCCAAATGCGCCGTGATGTGCCCAGGGATGCGGTTTAAGGAAGGTGCTGGGGTGCCCCGAGCGCTGTCCCCGTCCCCCCCCATTTTGGGGTCCACGGTGCCGGTGTTCGCCCCCAGCCCTCGGTGTCCCGGTGCCGCCTCCCCCTGCTCCTCACCTCCCCGGAGCGGTGCCAGCCCCGTCCCTCGTCCAGGACATTCTTTTTCCATGAGGAAACGTCTCCATTAGCAAATTGGAGACCTCGGAGAGAAACGGCCCCGTACGTTTGCACGCAATAAAACCTGGGGGTGGGAATTGAACCCCTTTTAATGTTTCCCCCGGCCCGTGAGCGCTGGCCAGGCTCATCCATCTGAGACAAACTCTGACATCGGGGTGCTCCCTCAGCCAGCACAATTCGGAGGCTGCCAGAACACTGCTTTTTGCCTTTTAAATAACAGTTTTGAACCATTCCGGATGGGGAGGAAGGCTCTGCACTGCTGGGAGTGTTGGTGTGTGCTGAGCATCCCATCCCCAAATCCCATCCCCATCCCCAAATCCCATCCTCATCCCCATCCCGTCTCATCCTATCCCCATTCCTCATTCCCCGTCCCCATTCCCTGTTCCCCATTCCTCGTTCCTCATCCCCATTCCCCATTCCCCATTCCTCATTCCCCGTCCCCATTCCCCATCCCCATCTACAACCCCATCCTATCCCGCTCAGATGCAGGAGCCGTGGTGAGGTCAAGTGCAAGGAGAGGTTCATCCCTGCCCCTGGCCGGGCATCCCATGGGCTTTTTTGGGTTTTGGTTTTGGTTTTTTGGGTTTGTTTTCCCCACTGCTCTGCCCCCGCTGCAGGAGTTGCTGGGATCGATGCCGAGCTTTCCCGGCACAGCCAATGATTGCATTAGGGTTTTGTGCCGTCTCCTTCGCACCTCTGACCCCGCGCCCTCTGGCACCACTCGGCATCCGTGCGAGCATCCGAAATACCCAAAATCGCTAAATATGAACTGGGGTGGCAGACGCTGCTCCCGGGAACTGCAGCTGATGGGGCTGGCTCTGCCCCCCAACACGGCCAGGCTCTGCACCCCCCATGCTGGGCTCTGCACCCCCCCATGCCAGGCTCTGCCCCCCATGCCCTCGTGAAGTCATTAATGAGGGACTTGCGCGGCTCATGAGGATCCCTGTGCCTGGGCGAGCGGTTGCTCTTAATCTGCAGCTTTGATCCCGTGGCTGCAGCGAGGCGGGGGCGCCTTTCAAGCTGGTCTGTGTGATGGAGAATGGGGCTGTGAAGCGAGTAACTCCGTTTGGGCAGAAGGGCTGTGCTGCCCCTGAAATATTAGGTGGGGATGTGTGATTTTTTTTCCCCTCTTTTTTGGAGCGGCAAAATCACCCCCTGGTTTTCGGAGGTGCAGGGGGGAGCTGGAGTTGGGGGGTATCTGGATTTAGGAGGGAACTGCAGGGGACCCCAGGCAGGACGGGGTCACTGTGTGGTGTGGGGCTTTGCCAGGCTGGGATGGATGCAGCTCCTGCATCCTTGGGAGGGCTCCACACCAGGGCTGTTTGCTGCAGGGCAGGGAAAAGTGGCATTTTGGGCAGGAAAGCGGAGGTGCAGGGGGGAGCTGGAGTTGGGGGGTATCTGGATTTAGGAGGGAACTGCAGGGGACCCCAGGCAGGACGGGGTCACTGTGTGGTGTGGGGCTTTGCCAGGCTGGGATGGATGCAGCTCCTGCATCCTTGGGAGGGCTCCACACCAGGGCTGTTTGCTGCAGGGCAGGGAAAAGTGGCATTTTGGGCAGGAAAGGCAGTAACAGCATGGCTGTTTTCCGTGCTCCAATGCTCAGGGATGTAGGGGTACGGAGGTGAAATCCTTGGCAGTGTCTGAGGTGAGGACGGGCGGGATGCGGGTGGTACCCAAGGATGCTTCTGAGGGGCTGCGTTTCCACCATCGCTTCTGCTCGCTTCAAGATTTTGGGGATTGCCAGCAGTGACTGATTTGAGCGGGTCCTGTCGCAGTGCCCAGACCCTCCCGAAATATTCGCATGTGATCCGAGACCGGCGCTGGGCTCCGTTTTGGAGCTGCCGGG